TGAATTAAAGTTGAGTTGGTCTTGATTTTTCTGTGTGCGCAATAAATTGTGTGTAAGTTGGAAAAATTTACATTACAAGGTAACATGTCATATAGCACTCCAAAATAAATAGGCCTACTGACGTCAGAATTGGAGTCCGTTGCTTATAGATGTATATGGATTACCACAGATTACCACAGTTATAGTGTAATTCTCAAATACTGTGTCCTTTTACATCCTACCGTAATAATGACACTTCTGACCCGTCTCTTACCTGGGCCATCTGTCCAGTGAAATGATGTCCGTGTACCTGTGGAGTGGAATATTCTACATCCCCGTCATTATAAGCTTTTTAGTGTATGTAAGACTCCAGAGGCTGAAACTTCATCACCATCATTTTTTATTCATGAAAGACGCTTATTATGCAAAGCTCTGATCAGTTCCGCTAAATGCTTTTTGACCCTGGAGAGACATAAGAGAAAGGTAAGAGAAGGAGCTGTTATTTATCTTTATGGGTCGTCATATTTAGTACATGTTTATTTCGTATCTGCTCTTGCCAATTATTGACTCGCATGAGTAATGTGTTTTATGCACAACAATAGATCCAACAGAATCTATTTACTTCCTCTCAAACTGCAACAATATAACAGTAAATCGTGATAAACTGTGGTTTTAATAGCCTCACTTTATTTCATAGACATTGTTTCAGCTGATTTTGGATTATTGTCAAGTCAGGTTACTCTAAAATATGAAAAAGAAGCTCAATAGCTCTTACAAACAGAAACAGCTGTGTCACCTGATGTTTGCATTTAGGATAGAGCAATATGTTCATGTATTTCAGGACAGTAGCAAAGTAGCAAAACATTTGAAAGTGTTTATAGCAGGAGGCAGTTGGATAAAAAAAGGAATCTATCATTCAGAGAGATGCAGCACAGAGGTGTGACTTATAAGCACAGTTGTATCATCCAAAGGTTAAACTGAGTGTCTCTATTAAATGATGCGCTCAACAGAAACCCACAGGTGTGTCAGCTAATAATGAAGACTGACCTTAGGAATAAGTGGACGAAATTATATGATCAGCTGAAATGTATATGCCAGTGTCTTAAACTGCCAAACACATCTACTAAAGGACTAAATGCAATCAAGAATTCAAAATTGTATTTAAACCAAATACATGTTTCTGCTTAAATAATTGAAAACACAGAAATGTTGATTATGTAAAATGAATAAGATGTATTTAAAGGTACACTATGTAAATTTTTTGTTTAAAATTAACATTTAAATAATGAGTCAATACATCGTCAATCATTGTGAGATTTTAAAAATAAAAAAGAGATTACACAATTTCTGAAACTACACAGCTTCCAGAATATTCTTTGACTCACTGTTAGCATGTTAAATGCAGCCCTCGGGGATCTCTTCGATTCACATTTAGTTCTCAGAGGGGATCAGTCTGTTTTGAAACATTCATAATTATCTCTTTGCACTATATTGTGAACATTTCTGAAATATTTCCTAACCATAGCATAATTTTAGTAGTTTCAGTGTCATCATACACTATATTAACATGATGTGTCTGTGAAACTGTTGTAAGCCCACATGTTCATTGCAGTGGATGATACTTGACTCATTTACTTTATCATTCAGTTATGTTTTCCTTTATAACATTACATAAATAATCTAAAAATAGTTTTGAGGCCTGACAATTTCTAATGCTTAATAATAGAGTGTGACTCAAAAAATAGGATTGAAACTCCCTGATGTGAAACTTTTAATGATGCCTATTTTAGCTAATTTACCTAATGCTCCTTAAGCCAGTTATGGCTAGACACCAGAAATCTGTCATAATGAGCGAATTGAAACGGAAATTAAATTCTCAAACACAACAATAAGAAGGACCTGAGGGCACAATTACATTCCAAACCTCTTGTCATTATTTAAGACTAAATAATAAACAGTGTTTGTTGAGTGACAGTAGTGTCAGGGTGCTGTTTTATTCTAGATGAACTAGATGAAAAAAAGAAAAGAAAATGATCTTCTCTTGGCAGTGAGGAGTGTTTGTTTGTGCACTGTTTTAAGTGAAATATTTTGTAGGATCTGGCGAATATGACACTTTCTGTCTCTTCCTTTTCAATTTGCTTTGTCTCGTGTTCCTCATGTGTCACGGTGTGGGTTTGTCTTGTCATGTTTAGTGGTTCCCTGTCTGTCTATTAGTCTTCCCAGGTGTTTCCCGTTAACCACGCCCTCTTGTTATCCTGTTTAGATCGTTTGCCCTTATATTTAAGCCCTGTGTTTCAGTCCAGTCCTTGATGTTGTATTGTTGATGCTGGTTGTTCTGTTCCTGAGTCCTTGTCAAGTTTGGAGTTTGTTTAATAAAGTTTGCTGCAATTGGATCCTGCTTCTTCCTTGTCTCAACCACATCGTGACACATGTAATTACCTGTGTTACGATGAAAGGTTTGTAAACATTCTTGATTAATTAAACCAGCTGTTCATTGGCTAATTAATCACTAGATGGAGACTGGGGATTTTAGTCTACACACACACACACACACACACACACACACACGCACGCACGCACGCACGCACGCACGCACGCACGCACGCATTCTTTAGAAATGTTGGCCCATATTGATAGGATAGCATCTTGCAGTTGATGGAGATTTGTGGGATGCACATCCAGGGCACGAAGCTCCCGTTCCACCACATCCCAAAGATGCTCTATTGGGTTGAGATCTGGTGACTGTGGGGGCCATTTTAGTACAGTGAACTCATTGTCATGTTCAAGAAACCAATTTGAAATGATTCGAGCTTTGTGACATGGTGCATTATCCTGCTGGAAGTAGCCATCAGAGGATGGGTACATGGTGGCCATAAAGGGATGGACATGGTCAGAAACAATGCTCATTTAAACGATGCCCAACTGGCACTAAGGGGCCTAAGGTGTGCCAAGAAAAACATCCCCCACACCAGTACACCACACCACCAGCCTGCACAGTGGTAACAAGGCATGATGGATCCATGTTCTCATTCTGTTTACGCCAAATTCTGACTCTACCATCTGAATGTCTCAACAGAAACCGAGACTCATCAGACCAGGCAACATTTTTCCAGTCTTCAACTGTCCAATTTTGGTGAGCTCTTGCAAATTGTAGCCTCTTTTTCCTATTTGTAGTGGAGATGAGTGCTACCCGGTGGGGTCTTCTGCGGTTGTAGCCCATCCGCCTCAAGGTTGTGCGTGTTGTGGCTTCATAAATGCTTTGCTGCATACCTCGGTTGTAACGAGTGGTTATTTCAGTCAAAGTTGCTCTTCTATCAGCTTGAATCAGTCGGCCCATTCTGGTTGTGCGTGAAAATCCCAGTAACTGAGCAGATTGTGAAATACTCAGACCGGCCCGTCTGGCACGAACAACCATGCCACGCTCAGAATAGTTTAAATCACCTTTCTTTCCCATTCTGACATTCAGTTTGGAGTTCAGGAGATTGTCTTGACCAGGACCACACCCCTAAATGCATTGAAGCAACTGCCATGTGATTGGTTGATTAGATAATTGCATTAATGAGAAATTGAACAGGTGTTCCTAACAATCCTTTAGGTGAGTGTATATGGTGATGGTGTATGGTGATGAAGTTATTTTTTTCGATGTTGAAATATTTTGTTATGAAACAGCTTTTTCTAGGGCTGCATCTTATCTCATCTCATCTCATATGAGCTTATTTTAAACATTTTAAACATACAGTGAGGTCCAAATGTCCACTAGTGAATATCTTATATATTTTGTACTTTTCAAATGAACTTACTTTTTTTTCCATTACAAAATATATAATTCCATAACCCCATAACAATTTAAATGAAAAGTTAATTGAACAATTAAATATAAAAAAATAATATAATGAGTAATATTGAGTTATTTTTCCTTTTGCAGCACTCAAACGGCAAAATTGTACGTTTTATTATAAGTAGAAAAAAACTTACTGCACATTACACTGCATCAGCAGCTAACCAGCAGTTTTATTTATGTGTCATGTTGTGAATGCTTGTTTGTCTATAAATGTGTGTGTGTGTGTGTGTGTGTGTGTGTGTAGGTATAGTTGCTTTATGAATTTCTAAATTTCTGACATATCACCACAAACTGTCCCTCATAGCAGTTACAAAGCAGTAAAGCAATTTACTACTGTGTACTAAACTAATATCTCCTTGAGTCTCATATAGATTATTAGCATGAACCGCACAATACAAACAGCATATTTCTTATTACAAGAAACTGGTGACAGCACTTTAATGAAAGTTTGCAGAGTAATTGTTCTTTTAATATAAAGGTGCAGATTGCATACAGCATGTTGCTGATAGTGCAGAGTAATACCGTAGTAAAGACGAATAGAGGCAGATCAGTGGTAAATACTAAGTTCTTGCTGCGTAACAAACTAGCTCTATTTTTAATAATTAAAACAAAACAGTGTTATCAGAGAGCCGCTAATGGTTAGCCCGACAGTCATCTGGAAATTAGCATTCCTCCTTCTGTTGTAGTATAATCAGGTTTTAATGTTACTTTCTCCAGGTTTGATGACCTGCTCAGAGGCAGGGTAACTGTTAAATAGTCTTCTAACAACAACATAAGCAGAGGATTAACATTTCCAGACCTTCACAGAACTATAGCCTGAAGTTTCCCAGAAGGGAAGGCAAGCGAGGACTGTGGCTCTTTTGAACATCTCAAGGTTGTGAGGTCTGGATTTTGTGATGGTAGAGGCTGAATGATTATGTAACTGTGAGGGCAAAGTGAAATGCAAACGTCCTTTCTTCTCTCTGCTGCTGGATATTCCTGGAGCCTTGAAGCAGAGCTATTTCTGTTCTCTTGAGCTGCTCTACAGTATATTCCTTGGAGAAGCTGGTGTACCAACACTTCATGTTTTGATCTTCATAACATTAAACATCAACATTATAGTTTCCCTGAAGTGTGTGCTTGAGATCCTGGTGCAGTGTGTACCTGTCTGACCTCCTCTCTGTTCTCCTCTCCCCTGTAGGGCATCAATATTGTGGAAGCAAGTAATGAAGAACTTCACCCCCCTTCAAAGCCAGGAATGTATCAACTGGACATTGTGTTGAAGAAGGGCAATAATCTGGCCATCAGGGACAGGGGAGGTATGTGCCCTTTTCACCACATTGACCTTTTTTTGGTCTCTATGTTCTTGATTTTCCATATTTCTGAGGTTCTGTTGAGCTGCTTTTTGCTTTGTTGCATTTTGCCCCTCAACATTCACTGTCAATAAGGTGACATCATTAATGAACTGGTTGTATTCAAAGAAGTAAGTAAATCATCCTTAGGTTCAACAAAAGTAATTTAAAAAAATCAGGGTAACCAACTATACATTTTTTAATTAGTCAAGCATGCTGGTGTGTGTGTGTGTGTATATATAGCGTATGTGTGTTAATACATAAATTAGTCTGATTAATGAATGGTAAAAAAAAAAGCATATTAAAATCAATGTGAGATTCATGATGTTGGTTAAAGGGACAGTTCACACAAAAATGAAAATTCTGTCATCATTTATTCACCCTCATGTCGTTCCAAATCTGAATGCCTTACTTGTTTATGTGAAACACAAAATAGGATATTTAAAAAAAAATGTAGGTAACCAAACTGTTCTGGTGACATTAGACCTTATTCAGAACAGCGCCATGACAGGTATGAAAGCGAGGCTGTGAAGGATAGACTTACCGTGTTTTCAATAGCATCCCCTATAAAAAGCTGTATAAAGCTCTTAGATCACCTACTGTATAATTTTCCACAGCTCATATTGTTTTTTTGCCTACTTAAATTTCTTGGAAACATATTTTTGCAGTGTTTAGTCAGCAGAACAATCCAAAAAACAAACTTCCATTCCTTACTTCCATTCATTTAAAAAATCAAAGATGGCGCTGCTGTGACTACTAAGGTCTATTGACCGGTTCTATTCTATTCTATTCTATTCTATTCTATTCTATTCTATTCTATTCTATTCTATTCTATTCTATTCTATTCTATTCTATTCTATTCTATTCTATTCTATTCTATAAAAATATAAAACACTGAGACATAATATAAAAAGTCATACATGGTTAAAACGACATGATGATGACTAAACAATGACAGAATATACATTTTTTGGGTGAACAATCTCTTTAACTTTATATCACGATCAAAATCATTCTGAATATTTATAGTTGAACCTCTAGCGCCCCCTTTTTGTTCTGCTAACATGATTTGTTTTCTGAGAGATAAACTTTGCAGAGTGAACAAACAGAAATAGTCAAGGCTAAATAGATCTTCTGCTGTGGTCACCTTGACTTGTGTGTATCTATGCAGACAATGACTCTTACATTCCTGGCCATTACTCCAGACCTGCTCTGAGCTGCTGGTGTCATGTGAGAGAATGGGCATTAGTGCTTTTGAATGGCAGAAGGACAGGATGGAGCAGTAATGGCCTCATTAGGAGCTGGTGCAGCAGATCTGTTCATACTTCCTCTGTCTCCCTCTCTTTTTGACTCACCCAAATAGACACACGCGCTAAAATAATGAGCAGAGACCCCGGCAGCCCACCTGCCCTGGAGACTCCAGCTTCTGTTGTGCGAGTGAGTCAGACAGTCTGTCAGTCGTGCTCTCCCTTGAGAGGAATCCTGAGTAATCCTGAGACGGAAAATCTCACGCTTTCCTCCAACGATAATAGAATACATGGCTGAGATGAAAATTATTCATCCATGTGATGTAGTTGAAAATTTGAATAGCTAAAATAGTATTACTTTGCATACATTTAGCAAGTTTTACTTTCAAACACAAACTTTGCTTTATGGCTTCTGCATAAATTAGCATACCAATGTTTATAATTATCTCTTTGATTAACTCAATAAATCTAGACACGAGAATGAAATTAGCATGTTTATTAACAACCGAACAGGCACTCTCTACAAGTCAGTGACCACTGCTGCTTCTCATTTCCACTGTGTTTATCCAGTCTAATCAAAAAGGATGTAATTACAGAAGGATTTTGTGGTATTTACAGTGCTTAGCTCAGCCCTGGGCCATAAGTGCATGTTGGTCAAGATCCCTGGTTATAATAATAATCATAATAAAACAATTTATTCAAAATGTGCTTTTCTAATACCCACATGTCCTGTGCGGTTAATTTACACCGATTATATAGCTATAATGTTACAATGTGACCCTTGCTGATAGCAGTAATATTAATATTCCTTAAGTTATTGTTGATTATGTATTATCAGCTTATGTTATCAAACCACAGCTCACCAGTTGTTCATAAAAAAGACTTGAGTTAAACGTGCAGTGACAAGCATGGTAATGGTAACACTTTAGGTATCTATTAGTGACATTAGACAATGAAAAATGATTAACAAAGATTAATGCAGTAAACAAATGTATTGCTTATTGTTAGTTCTGTAAGTAGTTCTGCAAGTTATGTAATGCATAAACTAATGTTCATATATAAGACCTCATTGTAAACTGTTAGTAAGGAAATATTCAAATAGTAAATATTTAAGTAGTGGGACGGTAAGTCCCCAAACGCTACGGTTTTTAAAAAATGCTTTTGAAATAAGTAACTTATATGCTCACCAAGGCTGCATTTATTTGTAATATTGTAAAATAATATTAAACTATAAAATCATTGTTTTCTATTTTAATATATATTAAAATGTCATTTTTTCCTCTGATGGCAAAGCTGAATTTTCAGCAGCCATTATTCCAGTTTTCAGTGTCACAGGATCCTGCTTCCATGATCCTTTAGATCCCTAATAATTTCACTGTCAGAAAGAAATCAACATGCTCTGAGAACAGACAAAACAGTGGCAGTGATGATTGAGAGTGTTGAGTCTGTTCTTACTTTTGGGTTGCAGACTCTGTGTGTTCTGCTTGTTTTAACCTTGAGTTATGGATGATTTTTGTGTGTGTTTGTTAGGTTGGTGTGGACAGCTTGGCAGGAGCTGATCCAGGATTATAACATCAGTTTTGATGTTTCCTGTTGTCTTTCTTTGGCATTGAAATCTATCTGTCAGCATTCTGTTAATGATCTGATGGTGTGTGTGTGTGTGTGTGTAGGAAGTGAACAGCATGCAAAGCGCCTCTAGTTGGTTTTTACCGTCCAACAGCTTAGTTATTGTGATATTATAAATGTAATGTGTCAGAATAATCTGAAAATGGCCACTTTTGCTGAATGATGGTCAAACTGGTGTGGCAGAATGTTTCACAGTCTCGAGACTCTGAAGTTACATCTGCGATGTTAGTGTATGTGTGTCGTGTTTGCAATGTAATTACAGTAATTTCGGAAGGATCACTGTGACACAGAACTTTGCCGTCACAAAAGTAAATAACATTTTAAAATATATTAAAATAGAAAACAGTTATTTTAAATTGTAATAATATTTCCTATTATTACTATTTTACTGCGTTTTTGATCAAATGAATGCAAGGATTTCTTTCAAAAACATAAAAATCGACAAAAATCATACCCTCTTGAACGCTAGAGTATATTTGTTTATTTAGCCTGTGTTGTCAAGTATACTTGCTGCATTAGATCTCCATTGAAGCATGTGCATTCACAGCTGCATGCTGTACTATAGCTGAGTTCACACACTCACAGACATACACTCTCAGCCAGAGGATCACTAGACTGAATTATAGAAACTGCTGCAGTCATCAATCCATTGCTGTTGTGGGGCATGCTTGGTAATGGAGTGTGCTAAACCACATCTCTCTTCTTTTTCTATGTGCTATTGAAAGGCTTCTCTTCTCCTGCACTGTCTTAAATATCCAGACGCCTGACAGCCAATCTGAACCCGGCCTGTGGGCCGTCTCATATCTCAGATAAAACCTGATGACAGAAGAGTTTTACATGTATTATGTGCCTGTCATATTAGGAGCTTGTTTGTGATAAAAGGCATGACTACAGTTCAGCTATAAAAAGAAAATATAGAAATTCATAAACTACACAGAGACAGGAGTTTGAAAGTAATCTTTTATACACCTATTACTCTGCAATATGAATGAATTTACACATACATTTGATCTGTTAATTTCTTGAAAATTCCCAGTCATTTTGAACCTAGATGAATAAATTGTATTTGTTGTATTTATCGCATTGAATAAAAGTGTCTGCTAAATGTAAAATAAATGTAACTAAAAATGAATGTAAAAGTAAATAAATGGCGTAAAAATTGTTCATTGACATTTTATGACACCTAATTCATCATCACTTATGTTAACAAATGGAACCTTATTGTAAAGTTTTCCTTTTATGCTGTGCTTGCCACCTAGCGGTGTGAACGTAGCATCACACTATATGCAATGGTGCAAATGTGCTATTCCACATCAGCTTTGATTTGTTTATTCTGCCAAAAAAGTATCTGATAATTGGGAAATTGGCAACATAAAGTGAGTAGTATCCACCTGACAAGTCATGGGATCTTATTATGTTTGCCCTCATGAGGCAAGCCGCTCCATGTAAAATAAAACTGCTTTTAGTGCGCCTTTAGGGGCTGTTTACACGACACCGTTTTGAACTAAAAACGTAACTTTTTATGCGTTTTGGCTGATCGTTTACACGACAACGAAGTTTTGGGTGCCTGAAAACGCAAAGTTTTGAAAATGGGTTTCAAAGTTCAAGTTTTGGAAAACTGTCTCGGTGTAAACAACAAAAATGAGAATCTCTGAAGACGATGACGTCATGCACATGCGTATTGCGTGTTCAGTCTATCGTGTTTCTTCGCCATCTTATGGCCTGGCAGCAGAATACAGGGTTTTTATTTGTTTTCGCGGATCCGTGTGAATGGGGATCATTTTGACAATGTTGTCGTCTGTACGTGGAAAACTCAAAGGAAAAACTTCTCAGATTTAAGCATATCTTTGTCGTGTAAACGTACCCTCAAAGATGTATTACTTTGTTCCAACCCTAACCAAACACACCTGAACAAGCTAATCAAGTTCTTCAGGATAACTAAAATGTTGTATTTTGTGGGTAATGTCCCACAAAATAAGGGTGGGATATATTAGGCAGCTAGTGAACAGTCAGTTCATAAATTCTGTGTTGGAAGCAGGAAAAATGGGCAAGCGAAAAGATCTAAGTGACTTTGACAAGGGCCAAATAGTCATG